GGTCCCGAGTGGAGGGTTACAGGGATACCCAAGTGGGGCTGGGCCAGGGCCTGGGTGGGGAGATTTCTGTGTGGGCCTCAGCCGGCACCGTGTTGTGTGACCACCTGCAAACTCGCTGCTCTTGCAAGGGCTTTATTTTCTGGCGGTTTTAACTTAAAGTTTGTTATTTCATTGTGGTCTGCAACACCTTTCTAGTGTCACCTGAGGTTTGCTTCCCTTTACTGTACACCGGCTTGGGTCTTTCTGCTTCAGGGCTTTACAGGGCGATGCTTGTGAGGCCTCCAGCTCACACAGAGGCTGCTCCACTTGCTCAGCTAGCTGTTTTAACCATTTTACGAGTCTTGACTGAAATTCCAATTGTAAGAATCACTGTTTCGGTTTGTCAGTGTGCTGTCCTTGTGTGGCCAAGAAATGATTTCCAGTTCCATCTCATTGTGTGCTGCCTCTTCTTTGTGAGTTTTTGACTTTATCATCGTCAGATCTTTTCAGTGTCTTCAAGCACTTGTTTCACAACGGGTGAGCTGTGCCATATGTGGTTATATTAGAGCAGGTATTTTGGAAGCCGTGCTCCTGTGCCTCAGAGTAGAAGTGCTGGGTCTTGCTGTACAGCCAGCATTTAGTAGCCCTTCTCTTTCTAAGTGCACCTTATTGTAGGCAGTGTTCATAAGACAGCTAATACGTGAAGCTGCCTGACTGGACAGTGTTGGCAGGTTGCAGGTGTTCTCTTCCATGTAACAACTGATGCTCAGATATGGGTTTAATTGCCTAATTAAGACAAAATATATGGCAGATATTTTGCCTGCTGATCTCCTTCCTCTCTCTTTCCTTTGCAGAGCCTGGATTTCTGGAGGCTGCTCTACATTCTTCTGAAACAAATCCACAGGGGCGAGTGGACAGAGTCTGATGCCATAGGTAACCTAGTCAGTCTGTCTGACTGTGATTTCTGTCTGTCCCAGGAAAGTACTGGGACTTGTTTTGTAGCACCTTTTCTTAGGTTACTTGCTCCCTGTCAGGAGTGCTCCATTTTGAATACCTGTGCCACCAACTTACTGTTGCATTACAGCTGTGCGGGCAGGTTTACTCCTCTTTGGTTTGTTTTGTGCAGGACACTGGGGCGTTCTTGTGTCTGCTAGGGGCTCTTGCTTCCCTTTGCTGTTTTACTGCAGGCAAATCTCTGCAATGATCTTACGCATTCTCAGCATCCGCAAAGTTAATTACAGAAATAGATTTGTTTTTCCTTTGATTCCTTCTTTCCCCATTCCACATATGATACACGATTCTGTGGTTAATTTTCTATCAAGTCCTGTATCAGGGCCGTAAATGATAGCACATGAACCTTAAAGACAGTGTTTTGGATTGAATTTCTAGACAAAACAAAAAGGAAAGTGTGTGAATATTTTAGAGGGACCGTGAATATCTCTATGCACAGGGCTGCTATTCCAGAGAGAAGCTGAATGCCTGTTGGCTTCTCACAATGACAGAGCACTATTTACTTCTTAAATGTATGTTATTCCAACATATACTTCTCAGACTTCCCTCTTGCAAGATGTCTGACTAGAGCCCTTTTGTTGTCAGAGGAAGTTTTGAGAATGGGATTGTCTGTGATGGATAGAGATCTCCTCAGACCAAAATCACTTAAAATCCAGTTTTGCTGTTGAAAGCAAAAAAAAAAAAAAACCCTAAACAACATTGTTTTAGCCCCTGAAGAGCTGGGAATCTGATGGCTCTGAATGGAGTTAAAAAAGGTGAAGCATTGTGGACGATATCTCTCCAGGAGTGTGGAGCAAAACCAGCATAGTTTTGCTGGTAGCTCAGCAAGGAAT